TTATTTCGTTTTTAGAAGATGGTAATCTATCACTTTAGCTTTTTTCTCTCTCTCCCTCTCTGTTATCGTTCCCCTTTCTACTTATTTCTTATGAGGTAGGATTTTTTTTTAATTTTTTTTTTTTGCAGCGAAACATTCTTAAAATTTTTAAACAAAATACAGTGAAAAAGAAAGAAAAAAAGAAAGTGAAAAAAAAAGAATACAAATAATTGGTTAGGGAGAAATAAATTGGTTTAACATGAATTAATACTTCAAATTCCAATTTAAAAATCGTTGGTCTCATTTACGATTTCACATTTCTAAAAACATTGCAAATATTTACGAATATGCAGAATTACTCATTTCCCTCATTCATTTCCGTTTCTTTCACTCAGGAAATGAAAATAAGAAACTTTGCATTTGTCAAATTAGAAATTATTTCGCTAAAATGTCTTTAAAGCAAAAAAAGTGCAAAAATGTTGGAGTAATTTTTTATTTTTCATTTAGCAACAAATGAAATCATTCAATTGATCAAATCAGAGTGAAAATAGAATGTTACCATTGCATGAGACATTTCATAAAATGCACTCTATGATATTGTTGTCATTTTTATCGTTTTGATTTTAATAAAAAATCAATTGTTAACCACAAGCAAAATCATTTATTCATTCAATTAGAGTGAAAATATAATGTCATCATTGCATAGAATATTCAATATGGATTCTATGATACCATTATTATCATTTTGATTTTAATGAAAAGCAATTTCATTGGATGTATGAAGAAGAAGCTAAAAGCAATATCTGCTAAACTATTGTCATTATGTTTTTTGCATTTTAGAAAGAGAAAAACGGGATGAAATTAAATGAAACGGAACGGAAGGGAACAGAACGAAATATTTTTAAATAAAATGTCCTTCAAAAAACTTTTTTTTCTCTAACTTTATCTTAAAATTAGCAATAAATGATGATTTCGTTCAACAACATATATGTATGTATACATAATGAGATTTATGTTTTATGATATTTTAACCAATAAATTTTTCAATTAATAGTGATAATCTTTCTTTTGGTCCTTTTTTTTCTTCCAATTTTTTTCCCACCTTTTTTTCAAAAAAAAATCCATTTAAAGTTTAAATTGCTTACTTTCATCTTTACCACTATTTTGTTTTGTTTTTCTTTTTTTTTTTTCGCATTTTGTTTCATCTTATTTGCTAAAGGGATCATCATTGATCATACATTCTGACAGATTATTTTTGAGATCATTGATCATATACTCTGATAGATTATTTAGAGAAAAAATAAATAAATAAAAAAAAAATAAACGAACAAACCAATATGAGAATGGTAGAATATTTACATTTGTAGTTGCTTCTTATTAAGACTTTTTTTTTGATTAATGCAGAAAAAAATCTTGAAAAGTCATAAATAGTTTGTGAAAGGATTCATAATTTGAAATGAAAATATTCATGATATTGGGAAAAAAACAATTAAAAATTTAAAAACTTTTTCTATTTTTTTTTGCTTTTTTTGTTATTTTCGCTGAAGTTGAAAAGAAAAATGCGATAAAAATTCGACACTCTGACATTTAAATCTTGATATTTGAAGTACAAATTTTAATTCGAAATCCCATGAAGAAAAGTAATGTTCATGGAAGATTAAGGGACGATTAGAAATTTTGTAGAAGCAGAATTGCAGCATTTTTTAAGTATGTTTTAATCAATGTGTTAATAAGTCGATAAACAAATGGGTTAAAAAAAAAATTGGCCAGAAATTGGTAATCGCTTTATCGATAATTGATAAGTAATTAATTTATAATTTAAATACTGTAAAGTATGTAGAAAGATACGAAATACGGTTTTATTATTTAAATTGTTGACAAAAGTGCATAAGCAAAAGTTAATTGTCGAGATCATCATCGTTCCTAATTTATCATCTTTGGTATAATTAAACTTTCTTTATTTACATCAGTTGGACATTTTAAGTTATTGTAAATAACAATTGGATGTAAATAAAAGGTTGCATCCGAGGAAAGTAAACAAACAAATGGACAATTTGATTAATGTAATTGGAAAAGTGGATGACAAGTAAATTTGAAAGCAAATAGAAGGATTTTAAATTTCAGATTTGGATATGTTATCAAAAATTGAAAAGGATTTAAACCGAGTAAATAATTTAAAAAGAAATTAACTTAAAATGAACAAAACAATTTAAAATCGATTCAGTCATCAAAAATTTAAAATTTTTACTTTGCAGGATTCATTATCATGTTCATGTTCACAGTCTTATGTAAAAACACTGTTGATAAAAGATAAGATTATGATTGTGAAAGAATCAATTATCGATGATTTTTCCTTGCTGATGTTCAAAAATTTAGATGATTTACAGGTAAATTATTTAAATTTTTTTCCCGTTCTTACAAGTTTTTTTTCAATATTATAATTTAATTAAATGACTAATTAACAAATTAATTTAATCTACGTGTGGGAACCACCTGTTATTTTAACTTTAATTTTCTATTTTCTATTTTAACTTTAATTTTCTATTTTTCTTTCTATTTTTTAATTAAAAAAATTTATGGTAAGAATATGAATCATTCATATGGGCAAAAAAAAAAAGTAGGTATTCAAAAAATTTCAATGCCAGTTGGTTCAATTTAATATTCTTTTTTTCTAAGAAAAAAAAAAGAATTTGTTGAATATTTATTTTATCAGTTCTTTTCAAGGACAAAAAATGCGCCAAAAAATAATCTCCTAATTATTATTCAATCGATTTTCCATAATTAATGAAATGAATGAATTTTTTTTTGCCTCAAAACTTTAACCTTCCTTTATTTATGATCAAAAGTGTTTTGTATGTAGTGTGTGTATACATGTATATATATGTATATATATATATATATAT